AAAAAAACAAAAAAATGAAAAAGTGATGACCACATTAAAAAGTTAGACATACTTGGGAGGTTTCTCAACTGTTCGAAACTCGTTGAATTTTCCAAGTTCTTCTTTCATTCCAACAAGAGAATTTGGAAATCTAAATATGGAAAAATTACCCTCAACTTTACAAAACTTCGACTCTCGCTTACCTCCTATTTTCGAGTACTTTGATCGTTTCGCGAATCCATTTCAGCAAATCCGAAGAGAAATGTTCATAATCTTCTTCCATAGCATCGCTGCTCATCAATTTGCCAACAATCTGGAGCACAGCTCATGATGCGGAAAATTGTGGAAAGAACATATTTACTCACATTAGCAACACGGCGAGCTCCAGTGAGTTCGGTCTTCTGTTTCGCGAAGTGATGATAATACAGGGACACATAGGTGATGATGGATTTCTCATCTGGACGAGCCGTGTCAACATCTTCAGCATCAAGAAGACGCTAGAACAAATAAGGTAGATAAGTGGCAGGTAGATCGTTGAATAATCGAAAGATTAAAATAAAAAACAGTTGAAAAAATAGGTCAAAAATCCTACCGCAATCTCCAATTTCCTCTCAGCCACATCAAAGGCATTGTTGAGGTTTCCAATGTGATCATTAGGATTGAGCGCGTTGAAGTTAACCAGCTCAGGTCTGCAAAAATCGCATGAGATCTAATCAAGCTCAGTCACCACTTCAATTACCTATGAGCATGGATAAGCGCATTGAACGCCAGTCCGTTACGCCAACTTGTGGTGAAGTTTTCAATCCTGACATTCGGATAACCAGCAGTTTTACGTTGACACCAAAGCAGAAGCGCATCTTTAGCGTGTTTGCGTTCTCCACTTTCCTCTTCATCCTGAATTTACATATATTTTTTCATATATCATAGGGTCTAGATGGTATGGTCGCATTCTCTCTTAGCAACATCCTTTTTGAATACATAATGGAGCAATCCAAAGAAAAAAGCCTATTAGTATTCTGAAGCCTCTTTATTCCCACTCTCTCCACTCTGATACATCCCGATGGAGAAAAAATTGGAAGTAGTGAGAAAATTTTTTGATATTGGGTGTTACACTATCTCGACAAGTACTGAAACGGGCAAATTGTGAAGGCAATTGCTTTTAAAACTGATTCATCATCAAGAAAATTTTCAAAATCTTTATACAAAAAAGTCTCGATGAAAAGCTATCCCACACTCGGGTGGCTGCATAGAGTGGAAAAAAGATTCCAAGCAATAATTATGTAAAATTTCTCACCTCAATGACGATGGTGTCGATTTGGAAACGAAGGATAATTGTCCAGATGAGACCAAGAATAAGACGTTCATTTCGATCTAGAATATCCTCTGCTCCGAT